CAACAAAATTGATTAATTATTAGCACAGAAATTTAGGTACCTGAATTGGCCAATCGAACGAGTTTGCAAGATTCAAGACTTGGTTTTGGGAAGGCACGTGGGGATCGGCTATAGCGACCACGACAACACCTTCATTCTTTAGGTGGTAAAGATTAATGAGATGCTCTCTTCCCATCATCCCAACTCCAATGATCCCATATTTTGTCATTCTAACTGTTAATTAACAAATTCGGGAAACCTTGAAATTTGGAAATAGAATAAAAGGCGATTAATGACCGGCGCCTCTCGACTGCGGCTCGTTACTTCTGGTTGTAGACTACACCGACTAAATATCACGCACCGTGTTCCGAGGGCCGATTCGGGCCTGGCGACGGTTTCCGGGCTGTGATCGGGTTTCGGGCTGAGGAATGAAACCCGATCCAGCGGCCGGTGGACTGACGGCTTCTGAGGGTGAAAAGGAGCCTAATTTGTTACTGTATTATCTGCTGCTTGGCCTAATTTGAGCGTGTAGAGATGATACTTGTGGTATTTTAAACTTGTATCGTGAAAGCGTGGGGTAATGTCTAGCGGTGTTCTACAAGTTGACAGAGATTCGTTACTCGGTGGTGGGGGTGAAATTTTAAAACCGAAAACCGAACCGCAATAGCATGTTCGTTCCGGGTAATAGTGTAAGTGTCGAGTTCTTTTTGTTGTAAATATTAATTTGTGGACATTACCTAGATATAGGCTTTGTAGGTATGGACCAGGAGCCCATTAGGTTTTTAGTCATATACATTGTATTCTCTTATACATAGGGCTCAAGTGAATGAATAAGATGATGGTTTTGACGGTAGTCATATACATTGTATTCCCTTATACATAGGGCTTAAGTGAATGAATAAGATGATGGTTTTGACGGCGTATCTCTTCTCTCTTATTCTCTTCTTCTGCTTTCTCTATCTTTGTCTATCTTATACATCGATCTTACATATTGACAATCTGTATTACAACACGTTATCAGCACGAGTACTCTACCACTTAAGCGAACGGCGGCATCATCAAGACGAACGAGCAATCCTAGTAACAATCAAAATTGATGTATGCCTTAGAAAAGAATCGTGTCTTTTCTGTCAAGGTAACATTCAAGATCTATTCAATATCAATAATGATCTATTAATTTCATCAATTTTAGTTATATTTATTTATCTCCTAAAGAATGAATTGATAATTTTTATATGAGTTCTGTGAATAAATAATTTGATGTGTATTTACGATATTGAATAGATTTAATTAATAGGAAAAATTAAACCATTAGTCCACTAACTATTGGTCAGTTGCACTTTCGTCCTTTAATAAAAAAAAAAAATTAGATTTGGTACACTATCTTTATTATTTTTGCACTATACATCCAAAATGACGTTCCGGTGACATTTTTGGCTGGCAAATCTGACGTGGCGTCCATTTNAAAACACATTATATCCATGTGTCATTACACATGGATTTAAGAATTAAAAAAAAAACCAAAAACTGTAAGAATAAAGAAATCGCGGGATAAAATTGCGGGAAAATTCCCAAAGCAGACAAACCCTACAATCAACAAGAAATGTTCTTCACAATCGCCCTAATTCTTACATGCAAAAATCACTACTGAATCGCCCAATTTCCTTTCACCAAATATCGAAGGTCGATATCTTCACAACCCCTTCCATCAGAAATCAAAAATGGTGATGAAAAGAGATAAGAAGCATTCGGGTTTGCCACCTCCATTATATCGTGAGTTTTTAATTTGTTTACTTTTTGTCTACTTGTGAAATAGTGTATTCGATTATCTTTTCAACATAATATGGTCCCTGAAAATGGTGTATTTGATTATCTTTTCAACAAAATGCGGTCCCTGAAACATGTATTTGTTTATTTTTTTAAGAAAATGCGGGCCTTGTCCCTCATATATTTGTTTATATGTTCAATAATTTGATGTTTCTTGGCCCACAGACCCGGATTCTACTTCCCTTACTGTCGTGGTGCATCATGGAGGTGTCTTCCAAAACTATCCCAGTTTAAGTTACATTGGGGGTTCAAGAACTGTTCTTGACTATGTGGACAAGGTACACATGAACTTAGTTCGCTTTACTATATTGGCAAATGAGATTATAGGTCCTGGTAAGAAAAAATTTCAGATTGATTTTTGTGGTCGTCTCAACCTCGTATGCAATGATAGTGATCTTTTGGTGGGGTTTGATGCTGCCTTGCCTTGTAGAGAATTGCATCTTTATGTAGAAAACGTTGTCAATGAAGTTGTAGAGTCTGTTGATAGTGAGTACTGTTTGGGGAGTGACTCTGAAAATGATGATGAACTATTTGATCACCATATTGATGATGTAAGTTCAGTTGAGGCATCTGTTGAAAAAAGTTCTGTTGCAAAATCAGTTGGGGATTTTGGTGTTGTTGGATCATCAAGAGAATCTGATGATGAAATAAATGAGAAAGATGACCATGTTAATAGTGATGAGGCTGAGAGTAGTGAGGATGATGTTGTGAATAATAAAGATGACTTTAATGAGAACAGGTTGTCTGATGATGAAGCAAATGGTGAACCATCTCTTCCAGCCCCTGTATTCAATGTAGCTCAAATTTATGATCCCACCTTTAAACTTGGGATGTTGTTTAGTAGTAGAGCTGAGTTCAAAAAGGCAGCTGATTCTTATGCTATTAAACATAGAAGAAGTTTGAAGTTCACTAAGAATGACAAGTACAGAGTTTATGTGAAATGTGGTGATGATGATTGCCCTTGGATGATTAATCTGATTCAGGTGAAGGACTCAACCTCATACAGGATCCACAAATTTGTTGATGAGCACAATTGTCCTCCTACATTTGATGTCAAAAATGTGAAAGCACCTTGGCTGACAGATAGATATCTTGATGATTTCAAGACTGATCCAAACAGAAAAGTGAAGCCATGGAGGAGGGAGGTAATTCACAAGCTTGGTTGCCATGTTTCTAAGTTTCAAGCTTATAGGGCCAGAAGAAAGGCTCTGAAGATTGTGGAAGGGTGCCCTGACTACCAGTTCATTAAACTTTGGGATTACAGAGAAGAACTTATTAGATCAAATCCTGGGTCTACTGTTATTTTGGGGACTGTTGATACTGATAATGGTGAGAAGAGGTTTGATAGGTTCTATGTTTTCTTCAGTGCACTTAAGAAGGGCTTTAAAGCAGGTTGCAGGCAAATCATAGGAATTGATGGTTATTTCTTAAAAGGGCCACATAAGGGAATTTTACTCACAGCTGTTGGTGTTGATCCAAACAATAATCACTACCCTCTTGCATATGCCATTGTGTCTTCAGAAAATGGGGAGACTTGGGAGTGGTTTTTGATTCTATTGAAGAATGACCTCGAAATACAAAACCAGCAAGAGTGGACCTTTATTCAGACAAGCAGAAAGGCCTAATCCAAGCTTTCAGGTCTGTTCTTCCTGATTGTCACCATAGATTTTGTGTGAGACATCTTCATAACAACTTTCAGAATGCTGGGTTTAGAGGTCTAGGGTACAAGAAGGCTCTTTGGAAATGTGCATTGGCAACTACTGTTGGTGAATTCAACCACTGCCTTGATGAGTTGAGAGAACTAAGTCCAGAAGCAGCAGATTGGCTCAGTGACAAACCACCATCAGAGTGGAGCAAGTCACATTTCACTGAAGGCCCCAAATGTGACATGGTGTTGAATAATGTCTGTGAGACATTTAATGGGAACATATTGGAGGCTAGGGACAAACCATTGTTGACAATGTTGGAGTGGATTAGGCAATATCTTATCAGCAGACTTCAAAAAAATAGGGATAAGGCTACCAAACTTTGGAAGTCTGGGTTGTGTCCAAAAATTAGAGAGATTCTTTCTCATCATGTTGAACAGGTGGGTGACTGCATTCCTTTGAAGTGTGATCATGCAAACTGGGAGGTGTCTTGTTTCAATGGGGGGCAATTTAATGTGAATCTTGATTTGGGGACTTGCACTTGCAGAAAATGGGGATTGACTGGAGTACCTTGCCCTCATGCTTGTAGTGCAATGTATATGTCCAAAATGGACCCATTTGATCATGTAGCTACCTGCTATTATGTTGCTACATATCACAAAGTGTATGAACCAGCTATAATGGGAATTAATGGTGAGGTGTTGTGGGATAAGAGCTTATATATTCCACCATTGCCTCCAAATTTTGGTAGAGGTGTGGGAAGACCAGGTAAGTCAAGAAGACTTCAATCTAATGAGAGGCCTCGTGAGAAGAAAAATCAAGATACAAGGTCGTAGAGACTTAAAAGGCAACAAAAAACAGTGAAGTGCAAGAACTGTGGTGTTTTGGGACATAATAGCAAAACATGTCATAGGAGAGCCTCCAATGAAGAAGCTGTGATGGGATCACATAATGTTCAAGCACCTCAGGATGATAGGGGAGGTTCAAACATGTCTAGGGTTCTATTCTGATTTCAGATTGCTCTTTATTTTTCATTATTTTTGTTCTAATATTTTCAACCTTATACAGGATGATGGTGGAGGCTCAAGCTCAGTGCACATCACAAAGAAACAGAGAAATCATCCTACAGTGCTACCCCATGTTTTTGAAGAACATCAAGAACCTGAAGAGATTGATGTCCCCATTCTAACACAAATGTCTCAGTCCAAATCAGCAGCAACAACACACATTGAAGGACCCTTAATGTGGGATCAACTTCAAAGGGGAAGAACAAGAGGACCACCAGTTGATGACTCTCTCCAGAAGAAGTTTAAGCATTTGTGTGAAATTTAAGAAGTTTGAACATTTGGTGAATTGATTTGTGTATTGGGCCTCTGTTTTGTGTAGTACTTTATGGTACATTGTCTTGTTTTGTAATTTCTGATGGGCATGAACTCTTAGAAATTCTGTTTTGGATGCTATGGAAAATCTGAGATTGTGTACTCTTGTGAAGCTATGTTTTGGTACATTCATTTGATTGTGTAGTAATGTGAAATTTTTTTTGTAGTATATATGGTAAACTGTGTTCATTATGTCTGTTTTTTAAGTTAATCTTGTTTCAAATGTTCAATCTGTTATTTGTTTTCATTTGTTAGTGTTGGTTTTTTTGTCTTTAGTGTTGGTTTCAATGTGGTGTTATATTGCAACATTTTGAAAACAAAACAGAGACAAATCATAGTTCTAAATCAATAGAACAAAAACAGTGAGAAAACTTTGTTCCATCATCATTGCCATCATCATTGTTCCATCAACACTGCCATTATCAACACAAGTTCTGAATCCTAAGAAACACTATCATCATCATACTTAACAAAACTACATAACAAAATAAAGAACAAGACAAAGTGGCCAATTACATTACATGAAATCTCTTCAACTGAAGCAGCAGTGAAGGACCTGGAAAGTAACAAAAGATAATGCCATATAAATGCAGATTTTCTTCATCATTGCAATGTTCTGCTTCAATTTTTCATTTTCAGCTTCCATGGCATTCACCCTACGTAGTAGTCCTGGAATTATAGCCCTCGAGCGACGACAAATTGGAGGATCCTCCCAATCAAAAAATTGGCAACCACCTCTCTGAGAAGAAGAAAAGAAAAAATATAACAATTTTAATGAAGAACCCTAATTTCAATAACCCAACTTTGACAGTCAAGAACCCTAATTTAGCACTCAAGAACCCTAATTTATGACTCAAGAACCCTAATTTGGGACTGAAGAACCATAATTTCGGACCTCAATCAAAAATCCTAATTTGAGACTCAAGAACCCTAATTAAATATGAAAATTTTACCTTCAATTGAAGACAAGAATGAAATCTTTTTCCAGGATTGTCGTCGGTCCATGATGTGCGAAGCACAGCTCTCTTCCCACAGTAGCAATTGATGGAGCTCGTGGTATACGACATTTTTTCTTCTCAGATTTGCAAGAATGGGAGGAATTGTAACGCCCCGCCCTAACTTAATTATCAGAGTACGTTTAGAGACATCTTTTAAAAATAGTTTAAGAAAATGATTCGGAGCGTTACTAAAAGATTTATTTTATCTTTTAGAAATCCGTTACGACCGTTTAAAAATTACAACAAAACGGATTTACATAACATACAATCCGACTATAAAATTGGATCAAAAGTCAAAGTTCGATAAACAGTGAAATCAGCGGAAAGTAGCGTGGCAAAATATACAACAAAAACATTTAACTTCGATCCACCCGTCAACTTCACAGCTCCGGACCGACTTCATGACCTGAAAATTTTTTGATAAAATGGGGTGTGAGTACCACTGTACTCCGTAGGAACTCATACTAAAGTAAACAGCAATAATAATAGTAACATCATGATCAAAAGCATATAACATAACCGTGAATTTCCTGGTCAACAGTATAAACCGGACCGGGATCCGTGAATCTACCGGCTGTCATGATGATAATGATAATGATAATGAT